CTTTCCATAAAATCGCCCGAAATCGGTGATGGTACCCCTTTGGAAACTGGCAAAAATTGCCCCGGAATTTTTTCGCCCGAAACGCTGTTTGGTAGACTTATCCATCCCTAAAGAATAGCCTCGGGCTGAATCCGTGATCTGCGCCCTTCAAAATCGAAGGAAAATGGCCTTTCGAAAAAAGCGCCTAAAAATTACGAAAATGCCCTCCGAAAACGTTCGACCAAATTTCCGCCCGAATCGGCCATTGCTAGACTTCATCGTTGGTGGAGAGTACCCTAAGGCCGAATCTGTGATCCATCGCATTCAAAATCCAAGGAAAATGGACTTTCCATAAAATCGCCCGAAATCGGTGATGGTACCCCTTTGGAAACTGGCAAAAATTGCCCCGGAATTTTTTCGCCCGAAACGCTGTTTGGTAGACTTATCCATCCCTAAAGAATAGCCTCGGGCTGAATCCGTGATCTGCGCCCTTCAAAATCGAAGGAAAATGGCATTTCGAAAAAAGCGCCTAAAAATTACGAAAATGCCCTCCGAAAACGTTCGACCAAATTTCCGCCCGAATCGGCCATTGCTAGACTTCATCGTTGGTGGAGAGTACCCTAAGGCCGAATCTGTGATCCATCGCATTCAAAATCCAAGGAAAATGGTCTTTCCATAAAATCGCCCGAAATCGGTGATGGTACCCCTTTGGAAACTGGCAAAAATTGCCCCGGAATTTTTTCGCCCGAAACGCTGTTTGGTAGACTTATCCATCCCTAAAGAATAGCCTCGGGCTGAATCCGTGATCTGCGCCCTTCAAAATCGAAGGAAAATGGCCTTTCGAAAAAAGCGCCTAAAAATTACGAAAATGCCCTCCGAAAACGTTCGACCAAATTTCCGCCCGAATCGGCCATTGCTAGACTTCATCGTTGGTGGAGAGTACCCTAAGGCCGAATCTGTGATCCATCGCATTCAAAATCCAAGGAAAATGGTCTTTCGAAATTTTTTCTTACTTTTAATTACATTTTGGTACCCAGAACTTCTAAAAACACCACAAACAATATTAATGCAATAAATATCATCTCAAACTTAGAAATCACCTTATAGCTATAGGCACAAAATTAATATAATAGCACCTATAGATTGCATACAATACCTTTTTATTATTTATTTAGTATTATTATTTATCTTTTTGAAAAAAATTGACGGATATTATGCAAAAAAGTTCGACCCCATCTTTAAATCTTGGTTCCGCTCCTGTTAACAGAGACTAAAGAAGATTAACGAAAAGTGACCAAATATGAAATATTGAACTAAATCTAGTGATCATGAATGTAATCAAATATTTTTAACAACCAAAACGTGAATGTTTTCAATAATTATAGTGACCAAACTTGCAAAACCTACCCATATTTGTTTGAGCACAACCAAATATTATGTAAATCATAATAATTGGATCATACTATCCAATAACCAATCCCTTACACATCCATATCATATTATCCAACCATGCACTCAATCCGATCCATAAAAATTAAATAATTAACAAGATCGTTAGGAATTACAGAACCCAAACTTTTTTTTTTCTTTTTTTTATAAATGGATGAATCACATCTCAATCTCAGCCTTCACAGAACCGAAGCTTTCATTATAAACTAACTGAACTTTTACTAAACGTTTTCTTTGACTAGCTAACTGTCAATATTTTCACCAATAAATAAAATAGCAGGAACACATGAAATAGCCTACCAACAAATAACTCCTATAATAACTACGCCGCCACATAAATTATTTAGCCGTCGCATGGACACTTGGTACGTAATTTAGTGATGGCCGTACGGCACTGCACATAACGCGAAGCATGCACACTGCTGTTTCTCGCATTTGCCAACAACTACCAGCCCAAGTTCATCACCAAACTTATCGTTGCACGCGATGTCGCAAATCCGGTCCTCCTTGCAGTGGTGGCCGCGCACGAAATATTCAGGGAAAGAGGTGAATTTGCAGTAATGCTTTGGATCCCAAGGCTCATCGGGATTATGACGGGGCCATGCTACGACCTCGTTCCCTGTTTTTTTTTTTTTTTTTTACATTACAAACATTAACAATCACATATATGAAATAACATCATCGAACTTAAATCACATATAAAGCGATAAAGATAATCACCAAGAAAGAGGCACATCAGTGTAATGACAGAGAAAATTGTCGTCGATGTTGATGAGGTCTTCATCGTAATTGATTTCTCGCTGAACTTGTTTTTTCCTAGTGCGTAAGGACAGTAAGGTATTGTATTCGCCGAGGTAGGTTGATATGATAACTAGGGTATAGGGCTGCAAATGAGCCAAGCCGCTCGCGAGCAACTCGGCGTTCGAATCGGAAAAAACTCGTTCGACACTCGACTCGTTATTTAACAAGCCGGCTCGCGAGCCAACTCGTTAGTTAACGAGCCAAGCCTGAGCTAGACCATGCTCAGCTTGATAAGCTCGCGAGCTAGCTTGATTCGGTGGCTTGTCGAGCTAAGCTCGCGAGCTGCCTTGTTTTGAGCTTGTGGAAGGATGAATTACTCTTTTAAACATGAACATTGTCGTCTAATACAGATGTGTATGAAATTTAGATGTTATTTATAGTTTCTAGTGTTCTTTCTATCATTTAAATTCTTTATGTTTATACATTTTTCCACCAAAAATGATTTTAAATCGAGCTCATCTTGAGCCGAGCTTGTACTCAGCTTGACAAGCTATGTTAATGAGCATTTATCGAGCTCTACCGAGTCGAGCTCGAGCTAGATTATTCTTATTCAAGCCGAGCTCGAGCTCGAGCTGGATTATCAAAATTCGAGTTCGAGCCGAGCTCGAGCTGAAAAATTAATAAACGAGCCGAGCTCAAGCTAAGCAAAAACTCGACTCGACTCGGCTCGTTTGCAGCCCTACTAGGGTATCAACTTTCTATATATATAGAAGATAACTTGTTAACATACTCATGTAAATCATAACTTCTCCTTGATTATAGGCGAGAAATGGTATTCCGTAAATTATTATCGGATCTATATATGACTATTGCATTCCTTAACTTTCGTTTATTTAATTCTAATTATTTGACGGACAGTTACATTTTCCAAATGCTTTGTTTGATGTTCCTTCTTTAATTGCTTTTTTCAAGCTTACTCTCAGTTAAATAGTGTACTTTTTATGAACTACTTTTTTACCCGTCTGTTGGGCGGTGCATTATATTTGGTTATTCTATAATTCGTTATAGTATTCTAATTATTATTATTTATGTTTGTTGAGCTAATATACATGGAATTGTAAATCTCACTTAATTTATTTTAGATAATGAATCATATTTTTATCTTTTTTTTTATTTATAAAAAATTTAATTGTATTAACTGAGCTCTCTGTAGATCGTTCTTTATCGATTTAGAATTTTGTATCGAACTAAAAATAAGTGATAAAGAAGTTAAAAAAATTTAAGGCCACAAATGAAAATTTTAGAATAAGAAAATATGATTCAATTAATATAAAAAAATAAGCAAAGAGCTTTTCATTTTCTTTCTCTTCTCATATGTCTGTATATGATATTGATAATAGAGAATATTCTGATCTAGATCCCACGAATATCGTGTATTATCAGTTACACCTGCAATTCTGGAATAATGATGAATCACATTAGCATCTACATCCATCAATCTTCCGCATACTCATTTAATTTATTTTAGCAATGTTCTAGCAAAACCAACCACAAACAGAACTATCAGTTGTCACTAATTTATTAAAAGAATATTTTCAACAAACTAAACTGCATATCAACACAATTTATATTTTATAGAGAGCTACTTATCTTCTGCAGAAAAATGGTGCTTTTTTTACCTAATAACAACATAGAGAAATAATGAAAGAATCATACTTCAATACAACTCAACTCATTCTATCTTGCAGATTTCTAATTTGTGGACTAAATTTATGCACCAATCCAAATAGTAGTTGGTAAGAAAACAACTCCGTGAAAACGAAGAAGAAATACATTCGCTCATCGAGTGGGAAAATTTACCATCCAGCAGTCTTAATTTGAAAGAAATTAATAAAAGAATGGAAAGAAGAGTGAGCAGTTGCCAACTTCAGATCAATGAAGAAGAGGAAGCAATCGACCATCCTCGATTGGTTCACCTCGTCTTCGCAATGATAGGATGAACTATTTTCATCAACAGGTAAAAATATGTTACAACTACTCAAACTTTTGTCATCTAATCGTTGCCTCGCTTACCTCCCTCCTCCTATTCTCCTACAAAGAAAAAGAAACTTTTTTTTTTCGTTGAATAAAAAAAAAGTGAGTGTTTGATAGCAAAAAAATATATAGTCATATAATTCATTTTTCAAAGTCGATTGATTGTCAAACACTTATTTTCTCTTAGGCCATCGTTCAAATTTTTTTTAATTGAAAAATTATTATTCATATGTGTGCTTGTTTTCTTTTCCATCAAAATGTAACTTATTATAAAATTTAGTAAAACTTAATAGAAATTTTAACTGATGAGATTTAATAAGATATTTTTAGGTTAAACAAACACGATATATGTCCCTCTCTATTTTCATCTTCATAGTTTGTTTAATTGGAAAAAAATATTATTACTTATGTATGTTTGTTTGTTTAAATGTTTCACAAAAAATGTAACTTATTTTAAGCTTTAGTAAAAATGAGTAGAATTATTAAAAGAAGAGAGAGATAGCTCCATAAATAGATCAATAAATAAATTTTTGTTTGTAAAAAAATTGTCCACCTTGGCATCTTGTGAATTCACCAAGTGCTTATGTGGCAAGAAGTTACTTTTGAATAACCATAATATTAAGTAAGTATAGATAGATAGATAGATAGATAGATAGATAGATAGATAGATAGATAGATAGATATAGATAGATAGATGTCTTGTTTGGGGATTTATATTAAAAAATAAATGTTTTTTAAATATTTTTTTTTAAATAGGGGTATTTTACAACTATTTCTCAACATAGTGGTATTTTTGCTGACATGACAGGAGAAAGGCATATGTCGCCAGTGGCAGACCCAGGAAATTTATTTACTATCTCCCTTTTAATTATTAAATTAAAATAATTTAAAAAATTATTAAATAAGAAAATATCTGGCTAGTACAAATTACAACAAAAATCCATGAAATGTTATCATATTTCAAAAAAATTAATAAAATATAATCATTGTCTACAGTGTTCAATAAATTTCTTTCAATATATCCCACTAGACAGTCATTCACGAACTTATCATCTATTCAATAATGAAACTTGTTTTTCATGTAACCCAAATCTAAAAAATAAATTTTCATTTTTAAAATAATGATAATAATTTTCAAAATCTTGCCGCTAGAAAAGAATAAGTTAGGTGACCATGCTAATAAATTTGGTGTTAGCATCCTAACTACTGCCTATGTGTAGTGGGGGCAATCAACTTCTCTCTCGATGGTGGCCAGTAAACTTCATCTGCTAAAGGTACAAAAGTGACTGCATACAAGATCAAGTTTTACATAGTTGTACCATGACAAAAACATTCTTGGGTTAGACTCCTCCATCGCTGATATCAGTCTAGAAAGGAGAGCATATGAGTCATCCCAATCACCGTACACGTTAGTTAAGGCTTTTTTCTAGTCATGACATGTCTTTTTGTACCTGATTGTGTAGAAATGTCGATCCTTCACTCCTGTCATAATAGTTTTACTACAAAAAATCAAGCTTTGATGAGGAGAAAATATGTCGAGGGGATGAAAATCGGTCGTTGAATGATACTTTCTGCTTTGCATTTAGCTTATAATGAGGGCCCTTCGTTTTCCCTTGTTGTTAGAGCTACCGTCGTTAATACTTCAAGACAGCTGGTGATGGGCCAGGTCCTCTCGTTATTGGGATCGTTTGGAGAATATGAGTTTAAATAATAGATTGTCAACAATTTAAAGATTATAACTCTTCAAATTATTGAAAAAGTTTTTAAAATATTTATTGTTTGGTAACTATGATTGTTATCATTCCATGTAAATAAAAAATCTAGCTTTATATTAAATAACATGTTCATCCTTAATAAAATAATTAAAATAGTTCGAGATTTGTTGATAAATATATTTTTAATGTGATAAATAAATAGAAGGAAGAGATAAATTAAGTTGGAGAAAAAAACTCTCACGAATCAAGATATAGCATCTCTCTGATTATAAGAGATCTGATATCCGTATATTTTAGATATTTGAAACCTCTAAAACTAAAATCTATAATACAAAAACATAATTTTCTACAAAATCTACGAATTCAGTGAATCCACGACCTAAATCTTGTTCTCCAAACAAACTCATTGTGTTCACCAAAATTTGATTGTGAATTTTCTTATAAATTTCCGTCTAACTTATTTCAACTTGGACGGTTTCCTTGCACTTTCCATATCTAAGGGGTCATTTGGAAGTTGTGATTGTTAGAGTTGTGTTTGTTGAATACATGTATTGTGCACAATACAATATTTGGAAGTGCCAAAGTGTGAAACAATGAAACAATGCATGCATTGTTTTAGGTATGTCCCACCAACAATCACAAAAAATGATGCATTATACAATCTCAAACTAAAAGTTGAGATTGTTGCTTTTAGATTTGTGTCAACTTTTTCTTTCCATTTATATCCCTAATAGTTTTTGTCTTATACTAAAAGTTGAGGGTAAATATGACATTTCCCCATAAAAGTAACTTTATGTAAATCAATGTAGAATCTCAACAACCAAACAATATATTGTTAAAATGCATCCATTGTATCAATACATGCATTTATATTATGGTGATTCATTACAATGCAACGATTTAACATTCACAACTTCCAAACGACCCCTAAGAGAACTTGAGAAGGGTATTCAGTTTGATATCCCTTCTCTATCCCTCAGCTATAGGAAAAGAAATCCTCTGTAAACTTTCCCACTCTTACTTTCCCAATTCTCGTTTCTTCCAATCATCTTCTTCCCTTATCTCTAACCAAACTACATGCGACATTCCTCCTTCGAATCTGTTGATTTCATTGATGGCGTACTCAATGATTCTCGTCATGGTCCAACCCTAGGTGTTTAAACTGGGGCAGCATTCATCAGATATATTGGCAGTTGGTGTTATACTCATTGTGCTGAGTAAAGACTGCACATGAGATAGGATCAATGAGTACGGTTGGGTTGGTGCCTTCGTTTGGTTTTGTTGGTGTGCTCGACTGAATTCACGGTGAAACAAAATTTACCTGTGTAAATCAAGTCATCAACATACAAACACACAATGATAAATCT